GTGTATATAGTTCATGTTGCATTTTACCAAAAAAAAATACTTTAGGTTGCAAATTTCAAAAACACGTATAGTTCAGGTTGCTCACAATTATTTTCCCTTAATATTATTATTAATAATATTATTATTATTATTAAAAGTTAAAATAAAACTATGAACTTTTATACATTCAATACTTGCCAGGTTCACTTAAAAAGGATTAAATTGCAACCACTTTTCTAACATTACAATCAATTGTGTTAATGTGTAACGTTGAGAGTACCATCTACTCATCTTCATATCTTAGTCAATACACACATACATGCGTGCATATACTATTAGATTGAATTGATTTTTGTTTTTTGTTTTTTACTTTTTAATGAAAGACATTAAATTTCATCAAATAATGTGTGAAGTGGCCAATTCATATATTAGACATCTCCACCCATTATCTTTCGAAACGTATTGAGCATAGATGAAAGATTTTCACCCTTTTAATGTTGACATGACGAAAATTTATGCTTCGTGATATTGTTTTTATATTATTTTTACTTTGAAGTTATATTTGGTATTAGACATAAATAACTTTACACATATATTAACTCAACATCTATATTGTACATGTGTATTAATTCTAGTTTCTTTTTATAACTAAAATGCATATTTATGAGATAGGAATTAATGTCATAATTTGTTTATATTTTTTTTTAAAAAGTACAATATTTTCATTTGAAAATATGCATCCATATTGAAAAAGTGTGACAAGTGACAACTTAACATTAGACGTGTAAGAGTAATCTTACTTCCGTGAAATTTAAACTTAGAGTATACTTGAATACAAATCTAATTTAAAAAAATTCAAATATTATTAGTCAACAATTTTTTAACTCAACTTTAATTCAACCTCACATTATCATATATTTAAATAATATCAACCAATCATTCTTACACATCACATCAACTTCAATTCACTAGTCATACACTCACATAATTTTAACTAATCATCACTTCAAATCATCTCTTTCCTACTTTTACATAAAATCAACTTTAATTATTTTATTTTAAATATTATTTTAATATACCCAATAACAACTAACCATACCACAATTTTCAAATTAACAAAACCACACCAAAAAAATCCAATCAAATAATTACAAAAATTATATCCAAGCATCCCTTAGGGGTGATTGTTTATGTTTTGAATAGTAAAAAATCTCGAATTTTTTAATTATGGTTAAGTTTAAAAAAAAAATGGTATGATTAGTTGTTAGTCGATATATTAAAATAGTATTTAAAATAAAATAGTTAAAGTTGATTTGATGTAAAAATAAGAGAAAATGATTGGAAATGATAGTTAGTTAAAATTAGTTAAAATTATGTGAGTAGATGAATAGTAAATTAAAGTTGATGTGATATGCAATAATAATTTGTTGATGTTATTTAATTATATAATAATATTGGAGATAGTGTGGTTGAGTTAAATTTGAATTTGAGTAAAAAAAAATATTGTGCAAATGGTAAACAATCACCCCCTTAGTATCTCAATTTGATTCATGATCATTCGTGAAGTGAAAAATAAGCCAAACAAAAATGTTTGTTTGAGTGGTTATATTCATAGATGTAAGAAATGAGGAGAAAAAAGAGTGCGGTCCTACGCAGATAAAGTGCATCAAGACAGGAAAAACCCATATAAAGTTCAAGTGAGGTTCCATCCCAAAACGTGGTAGGAAGAGTAGTCAACTAAACTTATAAATTAGTCAAATTTTTCCTATATAAAAGATGTGGGACAACTTACAAATAAATATTATAATGATAGAAAAATCCATACGAGGACAATTTTTTTTCTCAATAGATACAAATGTGTGTGTGTGTGTGTGTTTAGAAAAAATTCATATACAATTATGTGATATTATTTGTGAATTAAAACTCAGGAACAATGTTATACTAGTACAATACTCGTGTATTACACGGATGCTTGTTAAAAATTTATTCTTAAATTTTAAAATTAATGCGAAAATTTATTTTAAATTTTATTTACTTTTTTACAAAAAATATATATTATTATATATTTTAGAATAAGAATAACACTTGTTACTTATGCGACTTACATATGTTATATTATAATGATTATTATAACTTAAATTATATAACTATTTGAAACATAAATATATTAATTGATAATTTTTTTTAATTATTATTAAAAAAAATATTATTGTTATAAAGATAAATATAATTTAGTTTTTTCATGCATGCAATATGAATGTTAAATCGAAACTCGTCAAGAGATGATTAATTTTATATACTGTATATGTAAAACTGATAAAAATATAAAAAATATTGACTTTTAAAATACATTTAGAATTCAATGATCATAATAAGAAATGATATTAAAATGCAAGTAATAGATGTAACATGACAATAAATAATCAACATATTTATGGATAATCCGAACTTGTTGGATTGAAAGTAAATTAAAATCTACCCAAGCTTAGAAGCATTTAATTTTGCTACATAAGATCTGGAAACATGCGAGTCTGCTACTTAAATTTTAAACTTAACACGTTTTGAATTAATATACATAAAGGATAGGGGGATTTCTTAGTGTAATTTTATTTATTAGATTTACGTGTTTGAGGCCTCGTGACCATCGAGGCCTGGCAGTTTGGGTTTGATAAAGTTAAAAACGGATTAAGCCCAACACGTGTTTCACTAAGTGGGCCCATCTAAAAAAACGCATCACAGGCTTGATTGTTTTCTCTTTCGGCTTCTTCTAAGGCCCGTTGTTTTCATCTCTCTTTTCCATTTTAACACGTGCAAGAAATATATTTAAAATTTTGTGGTTGTATCTTTTTTTTTTTTTTTTCAAATTAATGTTTAATAGTCTCGTGTTATCATATCATATAATTAATTAATTAATAATGGTGAACAATTCAGTTTTAATATACCATTCGGATTTAATGATTACACAAAATATCTGATAAATAATTAGCTATTCGATAGCTAAAAACAATTATTTTTAATTTTCACAATCTTTTATGCTCCAAAAGTTTATATTTTAAGATTTTTTTTTTTTTTTTGGAACGCACCTCTTAAGATTAAGTCTTGACTTCTAATTCAACATTAAAATGCTTATTACCAAGCAATGTCAAACAAACAATAATCAATATATGAATATGCATTTACACATGAGATGTTGTTCAACACGGTTTTCTTGAAAATATATTGCAAAATTATATCTTAAATAGTATTTGATCCTGTGCATTTGCACAGCTATAAACACGTTTTTGTTTGTATTAATTAATTAGACATGTACGTCTATCATATACAAATTATTATTTTTTCTTAAGTTATTTTTATCATTCAAAATTCATTGAGATTTAAATTTTATTTTAACTATGTAACGTTTACATTAGTAACATGAATAAATTAATTTGTATATTTGTGACATATATTAAGAGAATTAACATAAATAAGAAAAATTATTATTATTATTTTTTTTTTTATTTTTAGAAAAAAAAATATGTGTCAATCATATTTTTATTCCAACAATTCGACCAAATATAGCAGTTACAGTTCTAAATGTGTCATTCAACTTTAAGTTCTAACATTAGCCGTTACACATTTGAATATTTTGCTACCAAATTTAGAATTAATTCAGTAAATGATCCAATAAATAAATAAATAAATGAATATATATATATATATTAATGTGTAACGGTTTTAACAATTAGTGAGTAATTAATTAAAAAAAAATGTAACTCATTTTAGAGGAAAATGAAAATATGTTTTATTAAACGTTTTATTAAATGTATCAACTAGTAATTCTATAGTTTGCATAAATTTGCAGTTCCATAAATTTGCAATATAGTTTATGTTTTTTCGATGAGTAATTATATTTTAATTAATTATATAATATAATAAAAAATGAATATTTCAGATCCCAATTTCCCAATCTAAAAATTAAACAAAAAACAACAAATTTACAAGCATAAATCCAAAAATTCTATGGCAACATGATGTGTGATAGTTGTGGCATCAATCATAATGTGTCACATCATGTTGTAATACCATAATATGGTGCCACATGTGGTGTCATAGAATTTCGGAGCATAAATCAGTATTTTTTTTCCTCTCTTTCTGTCCTTACATATCTAAACCTCTGTTTCATTTTTTGTTTCCCATAAAAGAAAAAATCTATTTGCCCCTTTTCCATTTAATTTCACTTTTTTATCTTCTTATATTATATATATTCGTATTTCTATTTTTTTTTTCTGATAAATTTTTCTATTTATGTGTATTTTCATTTCCTCCCTGCAAATCTATCTTATTTAAGCACTCAAGAATAAAGGGTCCTCCATTTTCTTCTCTCTCTAAAAAAGTGGAGAGATTGGGATCTTTTTTGCTCTCTGCTGCTACGGTATCTGTCAAAGAAG